AAGGGTAAATAACAAGTGAAACAGGATACTGGAAGGTAGCTGAGGTCAGAATGCTGGACTCATCCAAGAATGTTCTAATGAAGGGTCGTGGACCCGAAATGTTGACTCATTTTCCTTTCTCCATAGATGCTGCCTGACCTGCTGAGTGTTCCCAGTGACTTCTGTTTTTGTTTTACACAATTAAGTCTGACCTGGCTTAGTTGGTAGCATTCTTGCCTCTGAGTCAGAAGGTTGTGGGTTCCACCCCTACTGGGGGACTTCAAACCCATAGTCGAGGCTGACACTCCAGTGCAATGCTAGGGTCTTCTCACTGCATTGGTATCTATACAGATTCTAACAAGAAAGGTCTAATCTTCTCAACCTTTTATCCTGGTCACAGTAACATAAAAGGAGAGAGAAAAAAAGTAATTCCTAATGGCAAAAGGGCTGAAGTAAGAAAATCCTTATCTCTCTTTTGTGACTCATGTTAATCCTAGTACATTTACCAAGAAGGGATCTTTAAAGTCTTACCTACGTCAACTGACAGTCTCATCACCTTCAAATCAAGGATATTCTCTTGTGAAACTCTTAGAATCGAGAGCTTAATACCCACATTAACATATATTGACCTTGTTTTCCAGTGTTGATGGCAAGTTGCTAAAGATCCCAAAATAAATATTTTACACTCGGCACCTTAGTTTTAGGAAAAGCTCAACCCATTATTTCAGTCATTCAGATAATTAGCATCATACTGTAGTTTTATATCTAATAGCTGACAGTATTGATTCACTAGTCAGGAGAAGAGAGGTTTGATACTTTAGCACTGAGTGTGAAACTGGTATTCAGTGTGATGTGTTTGTAAAGAACACTTTATTACAGGGTTGTATTAGGATTAAAAAGGAATTTGAGCGTGAGAAACTGCATTCAGCATTGTTGGAATCTGGATTTAGTGATGGTAAAGAGCACACTGTTAACAAGAGATAAGAGAAGTAAACACTTTATTTCTATCTCATTTTTCTGAACCCTATTTTCCAACACTGCTCTATTGAACTGGCATCAATTGAAGATTTGCTAGCAGTCTCCCATATTTTTAGTTGAAAAAGTACAATACCAAGGATGCGGTAAATGATTGTGTCCTCCTGCAAATTTTACTTTAAATTACTTTAAAGCAGGAAGCCATACAGTCATAGCCTGTCAGACTATTTTGCCATACAATTTAAGGTCCATCAAATTGTAGAGGATTCTTAATTTCAGTTTCATTTTGGATGCTGAGTCTTGTTGAGAATTTTCCACAATTCTGTGCCACCTTTAATTTTGGGAGAAAATGGTTTGGCAAGCTGAGATGACATGATATAATGGGCCCTTGATATATCAGTTTGGGAACAAAGAATGATAAAATCAGAAATTATAATAATAATCCTTGCTTTGATGTAGTACTTTGGACATTTCAAAGCACTTCACAGGATATGCTGTAAAGCATTTTAAGAATGTGCAGATTGTCGAAAATTCTTAAATTTGACTACTTAGGAAGTCGGTGGTTCTTTTAAGAGTTACAGAAGACTGATTTCAAACTTAAGACTGAATTTCAAAAATGTCAGGATGTATACATGCTAAAATCTTAAGCAGAAAATTCTTAAGTCTAATGCCAGATGGAATTTCTATGTTTTGGAGAGAAGGGATTCAGGGGAATTTTGAAAGGGAGGGTAGGTAAGGTTGGGATGGGATGGATTTTCTGTTTAAGCGCTGTAGAGGGATATATTTAAAGACTTCTTCCACACTTCCTCTACATCACACTTTTATTTCTCTTTGCTCTTTGCAAAGTTCAATTTTCTGTTCCCTTATAACAAGGGTAATGGGTAGACTCAGTTTTGTATGCCACATCTGTGGAAAAAGTCAACAATGTATATACTTCAAATTCAATGCTTTTGTATAACCTAAGTCAAGTAGAAATTGTTGGAGACTGCTGAGTATAATTGTTTTCCACTGAGCTTTGGAAAATTGAAGCAAACAGCAGTCCCCCCCATGGGTCATAAATGTGCCTATTGTTGTGTCAAGGTGCTGAATTTGCAGAAACTGCAGATATAATGAATTCACTCAGCACCAACACCATTTGAATGAAGTTTAAAAAATCCTAATTTCCTCTACAGTTAGTTTATGAGGCCACCTGAATATAATTGCAATACTCAGCAAATGAAAAGTTTAATGTACCAGAATCTGAAACACAAAGGGAATAGTTTTGCTTTCAGAGGTGATTGTTTGATAGTGACAGGAAGCTCTGTGCTGCTATATGTGGTGAACAGGAAGCTCTTGCTAACAGCATCCCCCTTGCCAATTTTAATAATGATCTTCATTAGAAATAGTACATCGAGAATTGTTTTTGGTTAGCGATTATGCAATCACACCTTGATAAATGAGTCAGTGTACAATTCTATTCACACAATGGTTTGCAAGTAGTTACAAGTACTTAGCAGAGTGTTTGCGAAGCTGAAGTCCAAGGTGTTCAGAAATCCAAGGAGCCTCCTGTGAAATCACACACGTGCAGTGAATTTTCTTAGGTGTTCTTTCAACTACTCTAGGCACCAGTTCACAAAGAAACAACTCAAGATATGTGGATAGGTATTTTGCAGTAGTGGACTATTAGGTCCACTCATTTAGACTTGATTAGATGAGTGGACCTAACAGCTAAATCCATGGATGATCGGCTAAAATGGATAATCAGTTTTTGATTTCAATAAAGGAAGAATAGCGCTTTTGGTTATCTTGCCCCTCACTATTTCACTTGGTTCCAATCCCCTGCTTGGCTGCCCATCCAGCACTGTGAAATGCTTTGAGATATTCTCCTGATGTAAACGTTATCATGTAATTATTATTGTATTGTGAAGGCACTCCTGGTGGCTATTACCACATTAATTATGATGTGCCATGACTGTTCATTTCTGAATGTGATTTATATAAAATTAATTATGACAATAATAGGTTCTCTTTTATTCAGTTGACTTCTAATGCTTCTGTTTTCCATGAAATATTGGGTAAATTCTGTATATAGCTGTTTGGTAAAATTACTACTTAGTTTGAAAAGGAATCATACAGAGTTAGTGAGTACCAGGTTAAGTCTCAGATCTACTCTGAATTAGTTGATATTATTTGGGCAGTTGTATTAATACTATTCCCTGCGTTGACATAATGCCTTTCACACCAGGAGGATGCTTCAAAGTGCTTCACAGGATTTATTGTAAAGTGTAGGGACTGCGTATTTTGTAGGTGAACATGGTAACTGATTTACCTACAGCAATATCCCACAAATTGCCATGAAGTGAATGACTAATGTTATCTGGAGGACAGCAGGAGAAACTCCCTTCTCTTTCCAAATAGTGCTGATGGGATCATTAACATCCCCAAGAACATGCAGACAGGGCCACGGGTTAATGTCTCATCTGAAGGATGGCACCTCCAACAATACAGCACACTGAAGTAGAGTGTCAGCCTAGATTGTGAGTTCAAAGTCCTGACATGGAGCCTTCTGACTCAGAGATGAGAGTGTTAACACTAAGCCAAGCTGACACATAAGATAGTGCTTGCAAGAGTCCTGTAGCTCAGTGGTTAGAGCACTCACTTTGCAAGTGAGAGACCTGAATTCAATTCCAGGCAGGGCGAAACCTTTTCTTACTCCACACGCCTAATAATAATCCCTCCAAAACCCCAAACAATAATAAATTGGTCATTTTCAATCCATGACCGCTTGTGGGACATTGCTGTGCGCAATTGGCTGCCGCGTTCGCCCATAAATGTACAGTCAATTTACTTTACAGTGTGTTCTGTGAAGCGCTTTGGGACATCCTCCCGACGTGAAAAGCGCTATATCAAATGCAAGGATTATTATTATAGGGAGAAAGAGAAGCTGTTTTAAAAACTTGTACTTAGCAAAGCCCTGTTGTTGGTACAAACTGGCTATTTGGCTCAGTAGGAGCTCATGTATTTTATGTCATTGGCAGTTCGAAGTTGAGCTAAGAGACTTGGGGCCTTTGAAGAAGTCTTATATTCTAATAGGGGCAGATGGGCCTTTTTCGAGTCACTTTACTGAGAAACTGTAGGGTTGATTTACCTCTTAGTTTGCAGCATTTGGATAAGAGCAGCTGAGAGCTGGAGCTTCTGAAACATAATGGTAACAAAAACCTAGCAAAGTGATATCCCAAACATATCCCAGGTGATACAGGAGTCCACAAATACCACTTTAAAATGAGCAACGGAGAGTGGCACATAGGTCGGATTCCAAAACCTCCCATCAATGCACAGCTGTGCTTCTGCACAAACTACCACTTAATTTACATATCTTTAAAAACTGACTGACAATGGGGGCAAATTTTACATTCCCTCCCTCCCCAACATCCAATCCTTTGCAAAGGAATTTACGAAGAAATACAGTAGCACTGATGCTGATAAAGAATGTTTCGCTCATAAAGAATGTTTTAATGGTACATTTTCAATTTTGGCCTTGCTCTTTCTGATGTGGATTTTTTTGGAGCAAAATATTGGGAGAGATTTCTGGTGAGGCACTTGGATACATATATTATATAGACATAAGGTAGAGATAAAAGACTGAGGTCTTGTGTGTGGCTTCTGTTAAGCCCATCCATTGAATGAGATGCCACGACTCCCTGGCACAACCTGCTGAATAAAGCTCATTTTAATGCTGCTCTTTACTGCAGGAATTGTGTTTTATCAGGAAGATGCAGTGCAGGACTGGACTGGAAGCGGAATGAAAGACAAGTTTAAATGTTGAGCCTGTTAACATTTTGAAACACTTTGAAAGATCAATGAGTCATTTCCATTTAGTGTTTTATTTTTGAATGGCCACACTTGCACAGTGGGTTGCTGTCTCAAGACATATATGTTGCTTGCTGAGTGTGTGTGTGTGTGTGTGTGTGGTGCGCTTGTTGATTGATGGCTCAGCTGCCTTGCTACAATGCTTACTAATCCGCCCTGTTTATAAGATGCTCACTGCTGTTTCCTGTTCCGTGCAGGTAGTTGATCAAATAGACAATCTGACCTGTGACCTGCAGCTGGAGGAGGAAATGACGGACAGTTCTAAGACTGACACTTTAAACAGCACCTCCAGCAGTACAACTGCCTCAAGTCTGGACAAGGTCAAAGTATCCTCAGATGGATGTATTACCAAGACAACTTTGACTTCTTCGGCTATCCTTACTGTGCTAAAGAGGACCAACCCCCCACCTCCCCCTCCACGGCTGACCCCTGTTCGATGTGAGGAGCCCAAGAGACCCCCTTACTGCGTAAACTCCATGAAGACCAATGGGGCCTTGCTTCGCAATGGAGCACTATTGTGTAAAACAGAAAAAATGCCAAATGGAGATGTGTGTAATCTCCCTGGTAGCAATCCAGAAAGATTGCCCAAGCAGCCAGTGGTGTCGAGAGTTGATAAAGACAAATGTGGCCAGGTCACGCGGGAAAGGGTTCGATTCAATGAAGAGGTTCAGTATCATGGCTATTGCCCTGACTGTGATGTTCAATATGATATGAGAAACAGAGACGTGCATTTGCATGGGGAAGTGAGCTTTACAAAACGAAAGCCACCTCATCAGTGTCCTCCTCTCGAAAATGGAGGATCAGGGAGTAACTTTACCAATAGTTTTCCAACATTAAAAGCCACAAACACACCTCCACCAACAGCTCCAAAACCCCAAAAAACTATTCTGAGGAAGTCGACCACCACAACAGTTTGATGCTAAGATCTTGAAAACTGTTTTGTATCCGAATGAATTGAGCACTTTCTACTCAAGCAATAAAGAGCCAAAACACATTATACCCAGTGTTCTGCAGTGAAGTGACACAGAACAAATCATGGTAAGTGCCTTTAGTTACTGCTTAGAACTCTTCAATTTTTTTGCATTATCAGGGTTGCAATTGCGCACATCAGTTTCTGTCTCGTACATTGTATTAGTGCTGTGACAACCGTACGTATTAATGTATCAATGCTGCAGCGCAGCTTTCCTTCGGCTTTCACAGACATTTAAAGTTCATAAGACAAAATCCATTCTAAAGATAACTGCACTCACTGTGGATTTTAGTTCACCATTGCTCCCCCATCCCACCATTTTTAAATATTGTGACTCGTCTGCTACAATTCTGTATTTAAGTATTTTACATGTAATGCTATCCGTTTACAAAACATAGAAAATAAACACAAAATAATGCAAGTACATAATACTCCTTTATTTTTATGCCTGGATTTTCGATATTTACAACTGTGTCTTTGGAGGATATAAAAACAAACATGAAGATGTGACTTATATCCTGCCACCTTTTACAGCATATATTTTTATATAATAGTAATAACATTACAGAAGCATATTGATTGAAACAAACAGTTCATATGCAATTTAAAGATGACAGGTCGAAGCGGATTAAATGATCCAGAGTTGAATGATTTGTAATAAAGTCTATCAAAGCAATAATTAGATGAGTCATTTAACTTGCTCTACTGCCACCTCAATAGCTTCACAGCATTAGTTTGGATGCAGTCTAAATATTCCTTTGAAAACTATTTTCAAATACAAGGATTATAAAAACTATTTTCAATTACAGACAATAATCATGAGGCAAAAAGAATCTAAAACATTCAAGGCTCAGAGTATAATCTATTATTGTGGTCTGGAAATGTACTTTACTTTGTATTCTATCCATTGCCATAGTTACTACATTCCTTTTTGGCTTTTACATCTTTATGACTATCTTCTGCTTGATGTTAGTTCTGTGAGCCTATCATTCTTGGCTCCATTGGCTCCCCAACCTCCAGCAAATTGAATTCAAGATCCTTGCTCTCACCTTCAAATCCCTCAAGCCCCATCCTACATCCGTGACCTCCTTCAACCCTACCATTCTAGCTGCTCTCTTCACACAGGGAACACTGGCCTGCTTCATCCCCCGCCCAATCCACACCACCATCAGTGGGTGAGCTTTCAGCTTTGCTGCCACCACTTTGCAATTCCATTTTGGAGTCCTTCTGACTCACTCTCTCCCTCATCTATTCAAGGACAAACTCAACATGTACCTCTTTTACCATGCCCTTGGTTGTCTTTTTCCTGCATTCCCCCTTTGATTTCCACCCCAGCTCCGGTGCCCAGCCAACATCGCTTTGAGACGTACCCAACAACAACAACTTGCACTTATATAGTGCCCTCCATGCAGGGTAGTGTCTCAGAGTACTTAATAGTGGTGGAGCCTGAATCCGACCCGGGTAGGGGGGAGGTGGCCGTAAGCATGGCCAAAGAGGAAAGTTTTCAGGTTGAACTTGAAAAGGGGCGACAGGGGGCAAGGCGGATTGAGGGAGAGTGTTCCAGAGATTCAGGGCATAGTGGCTGAAAGTGTGACCTCTGATGGTGGGGCAGAGGGTGCGAGGGATGAGCAGGAGGCCGATGCCAGTCGAGCGGAGGCGCTGGGTGGTGGTTTGGAGAGTGAGGCGGTCGGAGAAGTAGGGAGGTGCCAAAGAGTGAAGGGATTTGAACACGAGTGTGAGTCCTCCCAGCATAAATAAATGTAATGCAAATTGTATTGATAGTATCTTTGTCTTTGTAAGGGAAAGAAAAGGAAATTCTCATGTGGATGTTTTATTGGATGTCCAACCCACTAAATTTGTACTGAAGAGTTATTTGGGTAAAGGTTGAAAACTGTGATGTAATAATTAACATACCATTGAAAATGTTATCTTGAAATTGATTCGAACAGCTACTGCCTTTCGTCTCCCCCAACTCCACCACAATGGTTGGGCCTGAAGCTGGCCTGCAGTGCACACTGGATTGTGAGTTAGAGGGGAAAATTTGTTTTTGTTCAGTAAAGGTAATATCCTGCTCATTTGCCTATGAAGCCCGATCTGCCTGTTTAGGTTGACGATAAAGATTCTGTGGCACTCTTCGAAAAGAGGAAGGAGTTTCTTCCGCGATCCTGACCAACAGTCTCCCAAATGAAAAAAACATGGTCATTCATGCCATGACTATCTGTGGGACATTGCTGTGTGCAAATTGGCTGCTACTTTTCACTTACAAAAAACACTGTCAATGCATTTTACAGTATATCCTGTGACATGCTTTGGGATATCCTCCCAACTTGAATGGTGCTGTATGAAATGTAAAGATTATTATTATTACTTGAATACATAGTCCCTACACTTTAAAACAAAACTTGGGAAGAGCTTTGAGATGTTCCGACAGTTTGGTAAAGTACCATAGCAAATGTAAGGATTATTTATTATTCAAATCCATCTGTAGATGGAAATGCGATGGGTACCAAGGTCTGGCTTGGATCCAACCATTGTTACAGAATTGGGAGGCATCACTCCCACAGTTCAATTAATGTCTTTAGTTATTGACAGGCTCCATTTTCACCTCATTATTGAAAACAAATTAGTCTTTCGGGAATACTTGTGCACTACTGAGGTATAGTGTATGAAAATGGTGTGCTATGCAATGCTCTGAAATAGGAGGGATTCTCTTTTACTTTCATCTGACTTTTGGAAAATGACCAAGAAAGCGTCTATCCTTTAAGATGTTTGTTAGCCTGTCAGCTACTGTAAATGGAGAATTACTGATTGTACTTAGATATGATGTGAAATGACATAGTAGCACTGAAAAACATCTTTGACTCCACATGCTGTTAACCCTCATTCAGGATGATGAAGCTGTCTAAGCACATGGAAGTGGATGTTCCACATGGCAGGAAATTCAGCAAACTGTAATAACACTTTGATGTGTGGATAATGGGAAATCCCATTGCAAGAGCATTAAAGTGCACTAAACTCATCATTCCATGGAGATTATTGCTCTATTTTAATTAAAAAAACAGAGTTTCTTTCTCACTGAGGTGAAGGATGTACAATCATCTGATTCCTAGCACCCAGGGTTAGCACCAAATGCTCAGGTGCTGTACAGTTAGATGCAGAATGAAGCTCTTGTCAACTGTACCCCAACGATATGTTTCATCCCCAATCACAGAAAAACACCCTCCTATTTCAATTTCCTGCCATGACCTGCCAATGGGCGATATTGACAATCTAGTAGTTTTGTCTTGTGACTCCAAGGCCATTGGGTACTGGGTTGAAATTTCCTAAACTATATTCTCGTAGGTTCCTTACAGACAATTGATCTCCTCAGTCTGGGGTGATGTCAAATCGAGTTGAAAGGTCAAAATACAATTGCTAAAGGGATTCTTTTTTTACATTTCACAATATATCAGAGCTGTCCTCACCCCACCAATATATTGCTATATTGTGGATATTTTTTCTTGATGGATATTATTTTCTGATAAAAATAATCACTGCATTTGATAAAGCAAACTTATTATTATGTCTTGAAAACATCTCAAAAGATTTAGTGTAGAGTGCACTGGATGTGTATTTTATAGGTGGACTCAGCAGTCAATTTGCACACAGCGTTGTCCCACAAAACAGCCATGAAGTAAATGATCAATTTTGTATCCGGGGAAATGTTAGCCAGGACACTATGAGAAACTCTCTCTTTATTCAATTAAATTGCCTGATTCTACACAGTTTAAACATAACTTTGTATAGAAGTATATACCTGCAGCTTTATATCTGAAGGATACAGAACAAAAGGGACGTTTTCCTTTAACCGAAATATAAATAATGTTTGATTTTCCCACCACAAAATCAAATAGAATCCACTGCTGTCCTGATGACTGAGTTGCTAAAGTCAACACCCAATTTATAACTGAGCAATATAGAACTAGCGCAGACTAGCCCCAAATTTAATCTTTAGGACTATTTTGTTTTAAAATTTGAGATAGCACAAAATTGTAAATTCCGTTTAATAATTGCAAACCGCTAGTTTCCAAATCAAGACTGAATTGAGGAATTTGGTACAATTCCGAGTGATCTTAAATTTGAAGCCAAAATTGTCTTAACAGGCTAAGACCAAGTGGAATTTCTAAATTCGAAAGTGTTTCAAGTTTGAATCACAGCCAGGTGTTAGTTAGCTAGCTGATTTTAGCTGGGACTCTGGTCGAGACTATGTCACTGGTATTAGTGCCCTTGAACTATCATAGAATCATAGAATTATACAGCACAGAAGGAGCCCATTCGGCCCATCGTATCTGTGCCGGCTCTTTGAAAAGAGCTATCCAAATCAATCTCATTCCCCTGCGCTCTCCATAACCCTGCAAACTTGTCCTCCCCAAATAATTATCTAATTAAGGATTAAGGAGAAGAGAATTCCTACTCCTGATCACAATACATTAACTTCTGTAACAATTGTGAACAATATAGTAAGGACAGAATTGAGTTCCATTGTGATTTCCCATTACTGGCAGTCAAATACCTGCACAACTATCAAGACTCAGACATGAAGAATTGATACATTGGCAAGACACTGGAGAATTTCCTATGGAATCAGAGTCCAGGAAAGAGTCAAGACCTTCAGGAGAGAAGCAAATGGGAGGAACTTGTTGGTTAATAGTGATGCAAAACAATAGCAGTTTTTCCTAAATCTCAGTTGAATGTATTTTATACACTTCACTCTAAATTCAGTTGAGAGGATCTGAAGCAAAAACAAATCGAGTGCTATTTCACCAGATAACAGACAACCAATAAAAAATGCCTTGGAATCTTTTGTGCATTAGATTAAGGCCCATTCACTATCAGAGCAGTGGAACAAGATAATGTACTTGAAACTTTTCTGAATTTGTGTCAGTAAAATGAAATATATTTCCTTTATTCATTGCTGGAAACGTTCTTGGAAACATTAAGGTAAATATTCTAAAGTCTATTCAACCCAGTTATTTGTGGACTTCTGATAAATCAGGAGAATTTATGTGTCTATATAAGAAACCATCCA